CAAGAAGCAACGGATGGAAACCGATCAAGGAGAGAAGCAACCTGGAATCAAGGAGAAACTTCCTGACAGAATAATTAATCAGTGGAATATCTTGTCTCCTGTAGTTGCACTGGAAAAAGTGCAGAGAAGAGTCTATTCTATTCTATTCTATTCTATTCTATTCTATTCTATTCTATTCTATTCTATTCTATTCTATTCTATTCTATTCTGTAATTCTATTTTATTTATTCTATTCTATTCTATTCTGTAATTTTATTCTATTCTGTTTATTCTATTCTATTTATTCTATTCTATTCTATTCTATCTGTAATTCTATTTTATTTATTCTATTCTATTCTGTAATTTTATTCTATTCTGTTTATTCTATTCTATTCTATTCTATTCTATTCTATTCCGTAATTCTATTTTATTTATTCTATTCTGTAATTTTATTCTATTCTGTTTATTCTATTCTATTTATTCTATTCTAATCTATTGTTTTTAAAACTCACCCGTGGACCAGTCTTCCCCTCGTCTTTCCGCAGATCAAGAGCTGTTGGAGGAAGAAATTGCCAAATTGCAGGAGGAACTCAAAGGGAAAGTCAGCCACCTCATGGAGGCCCAAGGTAGGTGCCCACCTGGCTCCCTAACCTGATTCCAAGGGAAAGCTGAGGACGCCAAGGTTGTTTTTTTTTTCCTTCTCAATTTGACTCATTGTGGGAATGGCGCCTTGCCTTCCTTGGTACTGTTGCATTCTGAACTCAGAGCTCTGAGTGGCACAATTAAGATTTCCTTCCCTCCCATCTTAAGGCTGCAAGGTCGTGACAGAGAGCCGTGGGGAGCGATGGGGAAGGGGCTGGGCTGGACTAGGAGCTGGGAAACCCAGCGTTGGTCTGTCCACCGCCTCCCCCTCCCCCCCTTCACAGGGATTCCCTGTTTGGGCTATTCCCTCCTTCTCGATCCCAGGGGTGATGTGGTAGATTAGGAGGGAGCATAAGATTCTTTTTTAAATTTAGTTTTATCTCTTCATTTTAATTATTTAGCATTTATATACCGTGCCTCTTATTATTTTTATATATACCTAACATTCCTTCCTGCTCCTATTTTCCTAACAACCCTGTGAGGTGGGCTGGGCGGAGGGAGAGGAAGTGTCGCAAAGTCAGCCAGCCAGCTTTCGTGCCTAAGGCAGGACTAGAACTCACCGTCTCCTGGGGATTGGCCCAAAGTCACCCAGCTGGCTTTCATGCCTAAGGCGGGACTAGAACTCACCGTTTCCTGGTGATTGGCCCAAAGTCACCCAGCCGGCTTTCATGGCTAAGGCGGGACTAGAACTCACCGTCTCCTGGTGATTGGCCCAAA